CACAAGGCGATTTGGATTTTATAAGAGCATTGTGGAGCAAAGTGGTGTGTCAATGTAGTTTTTTAAATGTGTGTGTAAATGTAGTAGAACATATTTCGTATATAGGGGTTTATTATTATTTTGCACAAGTATATAGGGGTTTATTATTATTTTGCACAAGTATATAGGGGTTTATTAGTTTTTTATATTAAAACTGTTTTGCACATTTGTATTGACGTTTAGTAACATTTCAATGTATCCGATTTATTTTTGATTGTATTATCGTGGAGTTTGAGAAAAGGGGGGTGCGTAAGTGCATTACGTGGGTGCGGACCTACAGACCTGCAGACATTAGAAATTTAGTTGGAAATAAAATAACTTGGAAGGCGGTTTTGTTTTAAAACAGACGTTAAAGAATACGAGTACTTATACCTAGCACGTCGGTTGTTGAAAAAAACTGACGTTACAAGTGATTTTAAAACATAAATTTGAAAATCTAGTACGACGGTTTTCGGGAAAAACTGACGTTGTAAAGTGTTTTTCACGTCGGTTTAAAAACCGTCGTGATATGTCTCTACCTATAACGTCTCTTACTTAGACGACCCTCTAAAAACCGACGTTAAATGTATAAATTAACCGACGTGAAATGTCTATTATGTAGTGGTGAATAGTATTTTTCATTGTAACCCATATCAAATACTCGGGTTGCCGGGGCATTGCCCCGGGCTTTACACTAGTGTACTAGTATATGCCACATACATAAAAATATAATATACCCCCTTCTGCCCATTGAGTTCACATTTTCCATTTATGATGTTCCAAACTAAACTAAATTAAACTAAGTTCATACTTCTTTTTTGGTAATATTTGATTGATAAAATGGTCATGGAAATCATATCATTAATTACTCCGTATTAGAGCATCTTTAATGCAACAATATGCACAGTGCACATGTGGCGGCATGAGAGATAATCACATAAATATTAACAAATAAATTATTTATCTCCTTACTTAACCTATTTTATTCAATTTTGGAAAGTTTTTCTCTGCAATGTCAATCACAAAGTCAACACATAGACGGTCTCCTTGACATTGTGAAAAAAAATACCAAAAATCTATAAAATCATTCAAATAAGGAGAAAAATAATTTATTTGTTAATATTTACGTGGTTATCTCTCATGTAACATGTGCACTGTGCACATTGTAGTATTGGAGATGTTCTTAGTTTCCTTTGCCATACTTTTGAGGAAGAACACAGTTGGAAAGTTAATAAAAAAAATCCCCTAAAAATCCAAAAAGTCAAAATAGGAAAAGTTGGTAGTGTTTGAGCAAAAAAATTGATTTTGGAAAGTAAAAATTGGTAGTGTTTGATAAAATATGAGTTTTTTGTGTAATAGAAAATGTAAAAAAACATATTATAACTTTTAACTTGTAAGTGTTTAATTTAAGCAAAAATTGTCACTTAAAAACACCATTCTTTTCAGTTTTTTAAGCCAACTAAAAAGCACTTTTTTTTAATTTTCTGCAAAGATACCCTTAATTGTAGGGGCAAATGTGACACGTTATTATTATGAACATATATTATTGTGTTCATAATAACATGCAACCGTAAGAGTGTGCATGATTGTTCGAGGAGTGCGAATGAGTTTTTTCACACACAACTAATTTAATTATACTGATATAATAAAATTATAGATTTGTGGTAAATGTGTATAGTACCTTCAAGTATAAATATGGTTTATCTGGCATAAATTAATCATGTATTCATGTTTACTATTGACACACGTAAATTAATTCATCATAGTGTAAATAAAGCTTAGTTAAGTGTAAATGACATTTAAAATTGTGTAGATCGACACAAACATGTGTATGTAGTTGATTTTTTACAAACGTATACACTCAATTAACAACACTAGTAAATGGATGGTGATGATGATAAAATTATACACTCAATTAACAACAATAACAATAATGTACAATAACAATAATGTGATGGTGATGATGAGAAAATTATCGTTTTGTAATGTAAATGGAGTTTAGTTGAAATGCATATGAAGATTTGTACATGTGTTATTGAAGTTTGTTTTAAGGTTAAATTACATTTTATTCAAATTTAAATGTAATTTGATTCAAGTGTAAATGGAGTTTAACGGTCATCTAAACTAGCTCAACTGTTCAACTCTAGTGTAAACAAGGGTTGAAATTTGACATCAATTATATGCAAATGACATACGGAGTTTAATTAAAAACGAAAATGGCATACTTAGACAAGTTATGGAGTAATGAAATAAAAAAAAATACTAACTACTACGTAATAAACCATACTCCCTCCGTCCCCTTAAGTTTGTCCCATTTTACCTTTTTCGTCCGTCCCACTAAGTTTGTCCCATAACATATTTGGTAACATTTGAGTGGTTATAATCCATTCTTACTTTATTTACACTTTATCAATTCAATACCAATTCAACCACACAATTCCACTTTTTCTTAAAAACCACACCACACCCCTCCGTCCCAAACTTAGGGGGACGGAGGGAGTATTAAAAACGCAAATAAGAGTAAAAGTACCCACTGCCTCCCTCCCACCGATATTGGGACGGAAGAAGCAAACGATTATTAAAAAAAAGTGAGTTTGCGTAATTGCGTGAGTTTATGTGGTTGATAATAATCGATAAAGTAAGAAAAAATAAGAATGATTTAGAGACATACAAACTTTATCAAATTTGGAATGAAATAATTTTAATGAGATTTCCGAAAAAATAAATATGGACAATATTAACGGGATGAGGGATTACTACACCTTTAAATAGACTCGATATTACTCCCTCCATTTCTAAATCAAAGTCACACTTTAATTTCACACTTATTAAACAATTAAATTTATTGATGAGTAAATTTTACTGTAGAATATATCGTTTAGCATTTCTTTTGCACTATTTTGATGTAAATTTCTTTATCAAATAGAAAAATAAAGAAATGTGATTTTGTTTTTGAAACATAAAAAAAATGAAAGTATTTATGATTCGTACTATAGCTACGGGAGGCTGGGATTTATTACACATGCTAAGTTGTACTGACATGGCGATGATATAGTAAAAGTACAAGTCTTTATATATATAAAGAGAATATGGTGGAAATCCAAATAGAAATCTATTTGGAGCCAAAAGAAGTGAAAAATTGTTGTCAGAATTAATTAAACATTATTTAATATGTCAATAGTTAATAACAATCAATGATTAAGTAGAAACCTCATTAATTGTTGTAAGTTACAAATACAAATTAGAAAAGTAAGCATATAGACATTACATATAAATAAAATTATTAGAAAAATATTAGAAACATTTACATACATAATTAGTTAATAGACATTTACATACATAATAAATTTTAAAACGAAATGTTCTAACTTTAGAATATAAAAAAAGTACTTCGTATTAAATTATATTCATGAATGATGAATTCAGATACAAATATTATTAAAAAGAAAAATGATACTACCTCCGTCCCCTAAGTTTGGGACAAAGGGGTGTTGTGTGGTTTTTAAGAAAACGTAGAATTGTGTGATTGATATTGAATTGATAAAGTGTGAATAGATTAATAATGAATTCTAGCCACTCAAACATTACCTAATATGGTATGAGACAAACTTAATGGGACGGACGAAAAAGGTAAAACGGGGCAAACATAGGGGGACGGAGGGAGTAGTAATTAGTACCCCCATAAAATGTGAATGAAATTGATTTGCATGTGAAATACAACAACAACAACATCCAAGCCTTAGTCCCAAAAGATATTGGGGTCGGCTAACATAAATCGATACATGAGATCACCGCCAAAAGGAAAAGAAAGAAAATAATTTAAAGATAAAAAGATAAGCTATTATAAAAAAGATAATGTACAAAGAGATGAATATACCTAAAAACGATAAAATAAAAAGGATAAAAGTAGTATATATATATAAGGATAAAAAGATAAAAAAAAACACAAGGAAAAAATGAGGGGAAAAGATGATTTGCATGTGAAATATAAAGAAAATTATATGATGGAGATTTGTGCAGATCGTAGAAGGAAAAAATAATTTACCCACAAACTTAATACTTTAAATAGAAATCACCAAAGTTGCATAAATAAAGTTATAAACTTTAACGAGACGAGAGAGGAATTGTTATTGGTAATCAGTTGCAAAATAAAATAAAAATGCATTCATTTAATTCTATTACATCTATCCATAAAAAAAGACGATTTAAATAAATTTATCCATTAGTAAATAAGTAACTATATTAAAAAGAATTCAATCCTTACTAGCTAGATGCAGACAATTGAATAAGGAGAATATGATTGTACTTTATCAAATTTAACACGAATTTGAACTTAACTGAACTAGAAATTAATTATAAGGAAATAAATAGCCACTTTCACAACAATACATTGAAAAAACATAAAAGGGTCAATACATTGATAACTCACTAATAAGTAAACATAGCATGTCGATCTACAATTCATATGATTGGTCTATATCGTTATAAAAATTTCTATACTATGATACCCACTAATAATTTATGTGGCTGATATTGAATTGATAAAATGAGAGTAAAGTAGGAATGATTTAGAATCATACCAACGTTACCAAATTTGGTATAAAACAATCTTAATGAGACAAACTAAAAAGGAAAAATGAGACAATTTTAGTGGGACGGATGAAGTAGTATCATACATGGACTCTAATTTATTTTTATATCATATTTTTATACAATAACTATGTATATACACATTCCCATGAATTATTTTAAAATAAATTATTTCATCTTTTATCCGTGCAACGCACGGGTGGATTGACTAGTAGCTATGATACTAGTTATGAAACATAAAAAAAAATGAAAGTATTTATGATTCGTACTATAGCTACGGGAGGCTGGGATTTATTACACATGCTAAGTTGTACTGACATGGCGATGATATAGTAAAAGTACAAGTGAAGATAATGCCAAATATGCTTTAAATTTTCTGATAGAAAATGTGGCAATAATCGGAAATTCAATCCCTTCTTAAGCTTCCTTCAACCTTCTTGTCAGATTAGCATCTACCCTTTTCCTGCCACACCAGCGGAATCGTCTCCTTATAAATACGGACAATCTAACTGCATTTGGCGTTTTTCACGGATTATTCGCTCAAAATCCGGTTCGAGCTTCTCTTTCCTTGTAACCGTAAACAGACTGGCCATGCTGGGCAGTTCTACTAAAAATCAACACCTGCCTGTATATAAGCGACGAAATGCGACTTCCCAAGCGTTCATTTTCGTTTTGCCTTTCCATCTTCTCCCCTCCTCTCTACTCCAGCTCTCCTCTTTCTCGAAACTTCCGTTTCTACTCCCGCTGCAATTTCGCCGACAAAGGCAGGCCGCTTCGTTCTCCAGGTGTGTTGTTCTGCTCGTTACTCTTCGTACATGAATTAATGGAGAGTATGCATCTTCTGTTTGTAATTTGTCTTGCTCTGCTGTGGAGAGTATGATTCGTGTGTTTGTAATTTGTCTTGCTCTGCTGTTGCCGGTGGATTGCGCTTGTGTTTTCGTATGACTTGATTCTTCGTCTTCTTGCTTGAGTTGGATGCATACGGCAAATTGAGTGCTACTTCGATTCTCTGTGATGTTATTTCTGTTATTTTGATAGGTTGTTTATCGCTGAGCAATTTCAAGGTTGAAATGAATTTATTAGTTTGTTATCCAATGAACTTCTGTACTTGAATCTGCATTTGAAGTTGATTTGACTTCCACCTTAGTGTTTCTCACCGATTTCAAATTGTCTCAAACCTTCGCTCTGTCTGTTCAGGAACTATTTGATATTTTCTAATGAAGGTTTGAATATAGAATTATCTTTTGAACAACTAATAATCATGATCTGCATCACTCTCTCTCTCTCCTCTCGCTTGATGCATGTATATAGTTTGAAGCAGTTCTTCTTCATGCTTGAGCTGACTGTATATGGCAAACTGAATTATCCTTCTCTGTAATGTCATTTCTATTATTTTGCTCGTTTCTAACTACTTTTGTGTTTTTGTTCTAAAGTTCTGGCTTAACACGTGCTTCTTAAAGTGAATAGTTGGTTTATTGACTTATTGCTGAGCATTTCCTAGGTCCTCCTAGTGCATGAAATTATTAGGTGAAAATAACTCTGAAAAAATATAGGTGTTCCCTTGGAGCATATCATGGAGTGTGCTATCAAGTCAAAACATAACCTGGCCCTTGTATCTTTTACCTTGGCAAAGAGTCACTTGATGTAAACTTTACCATTTTTTTTGTTATCGCCTGGTTTTTAAAATATCCTTATGCATGAGTTATGTTTTTAGTTGCTTGAGGTCTTGTCCACTATCTACTGACAATAGATATAGAGAGTTAGGGTTGCTGTGGTTGTAGAAGTCTGGTGTCTGTAGCAAAATTTTGTTGAGTGTCTTGAGTGATGTGGATGCAAAAGGCATGCAATATTTAGCAACTGTGAACTTTTACATAAATGGAATGACAATAATCATTTACACATTACGGTAAATGCGTGTTGAATGCTTGTCATCGCTTGTGAAGTGTTATTCTTTAGGTAATTAGTGAATCTCATTGCAATTACCTTGTTTGGTAGGTCTGGATGAGGGGTCTGCTGCATATTTGTATTTCTGGCAATACTATCCTAAAAAATATTTCTAATTATGACACTTGCCAATGCATGCAGGTTTTGCTATGGCTGGTGTGGGCTTGAAGGACCAGGAAAAACCAGTTGGAAGAGAAAATGCGGCTGATGACGATCAGAGTTCTTCCATATGGGCATCTCCACGAGGAAGCAAAATTGGCAAGGGACAACAGATATTTTGCAATAGATCTCTCAACATGAAAAATATAGTTGCTGTTGGGTTTGACATGGATTATACTTTAGCACAGTACAAAGCGGAGACATTCGAAACTCTTGCATATGAAGGAACCATAAAAAAACTGGTCGAGGAGATGGGGTATCCTCAAGAGGTTAGTGTATGCTATGTCAGTAAGAGTAGTCCTACCATGAACCATGTGATTTGTGTGCATCATGCCTTTCTTTAGGTCCTACTTTGGCAGCTTTCCTCTCAACTATTATATTTACATACATTTAGTGTGTTATAGTTCATCATTGGATGATTTTGTAATTCGAATGGTGTGTTAGTATATTGATAATTACTGTGATAATTAATTCCCTATGTTTTTTCAAAGATGTTGCAATGGGGCTTTAACTGGAGCTACATGGTCAGAGGATTAGTTTTGGACAAGAAAAGAGGGAATATATTGAAAGTATGTATTAATCAGTTATGCTGTGATGATTAGGTTTCTGAGATTCAATAATTTGATCTGAATTTCTATTCCTGCATATCTTCTCCTTTGACAGATGGACAGGCACAAATATGTCAAAGTTGCTTACCATGGAACTCGGGAAATGTCAAAAGAGGAAAAAGTTGCAACTTATGGCAATACTTTGCTTCAAGATCCATTTGATGAACCTGATTATGCACTTATTGATACTCTCTTCTCCCTGGCTGAAGCATACTTATTTGCTCAACTAGTGGACTTCAAGGACAAAAACCCTGGAAAAATTCCTGAAGACCGCGAGTAAGATAGTTATTGCTATGTTAGAAAGCAGCAGCAAACTGTTCTTCATTTTACATTGCTCATTGTGTAGAACATATATGCTCTTATGTTCGTACAGTGGGTTTCTTCACCAGCCTGTACTGTGTTAAAATATTGAAGTGCTTCCACTGGACAATATTTTATTATTTAATCATAAAACAGATCATTTAGGATTGATTTTTCCTTCATCTGTACCCTCCTAACCCTTAACTTAGGGGAAGGGGTGATATTTGTCTCCTTAGATCTGGAAATTTCCTTTTAGAAGCTCCAGATGGTTTTCCATAGTAGTGAGAAACTCACACTGGAATTTCCAAATGATGTCTATAGCCCAGTTCAATTCTTTTCATACTGTAAGACTGTTTAAAGTGATTGACTGGGAAGAGGGGAGAGGGGGAGACGTCTAAGTAGCGCATAGGTATGTGAATTAGTAACTGTTTCTTTTGTCACGACCCCCTTAAGTCATATGGTCATCCAGGATAGAATGATTATGCATTTTTGGGAAATACAGAGTAATATATATAGTGATAAGAATATAACATTTATAACTAACATCAGTAGCTGGTGATTTTATAACATAGCTATCTTCAGATAAACTGTCCATTGCTGTGCAATCATCTATTCACATGACAATTGCTAGTTTTTATGCATCTATGTGTAGTACACTGTATTAACAAAAAAGTGTTTCATAAACATGTGAAGCAGTTGTGCCCTTTTGTATTTTATGTGTTAGGGGAAGTTATGTAAGACTGCGTACATCCGACCCCCCCTTACCCCATCGTAAATGGGAGCCTTTGAGGCACTGGGGTAATGATGATATTATGATAATGATGAGGTGAAGTTATGTATAAGCAGTATAAGCTGATGTGACATGCATCCCCTTTCGTAAAACTTCTTTTTCATGTTGTTTTATGTATTGACATGTTTTTCATATATATTCTTTATTTCTTATCTTCGTGGTGAAGATCTATTTATTTTACTGAAGGGGGCGGGGGTTGAAAGCTATTATTTGGCTGGAAAGTCTCATCTACCTCATTTAGTCACTGGACCTTGATTGAAGGATAGTTAACTAAGCATTAGTTTGGTTGCGATAAAAAAGTTTCTGGAATAATTTAACCAAAAATTTAAATTTGAAATATCATTATGAACCATTCGTGCAACATTCTATGAAGCTCGTGGGGGCACACTTGAATTTACCCACACTACCAAATGCGGAAATAAAGTCAGGGACTTGAATTTACATGGGCTCATTAAGACTTACTTTTGATTTGGAATAACTTAGGGGAAAAGAAGGATAATCCACAAGGACCAATTGGGAAAGATTTGCTTTAATGGTCCATATATTGCTTCGGAGGCTTAATCAAACAGAAAGTAAAACTTAATATAATTTGATTGGGACTTTTGTTGCACTTAAGTTTAATGTTAATTGTTAACTCAGTCTAAGAAAAAACACTTGGAAAATCATCAATTGGCAGATTGTTTACACTTCCTAACTGAGAGCTCGCATTGAATCATTATCTAGGAACTCTTATCATTAATTGTGAGAAGGAACCAAATTGGTATATTTGAATTACCTCTGCAATTTTTCCCCTAATCTATTCATCTATTCATATAACTCCTTTGTTTGGTGAGTTTCTTTATAACTAAGAGTTACAATGTGTACACATATGGTCTCTGTTATGTGGGTCGGTTTTCAGTCTCCACCCCATACTCCTTTTCCTTGTGTATTCTCACTTGCTAATTCATGCTTTCAGCTATTCTCGGATATACAAGGATGTTCGTGCGGCAGTAGATATGTGCCACCGTGATGGGACCTTGAAACAGACGGTAGCACAAGATCCTAAGAGGTATGATTCATTTTCTGCAAATGGAAAACAAAATTGAGCAGGAGCTGTGACTATGAAAATGAAACTTCCTGTGGTATAGTGAGAATATATGTGCTTGTATAGGGAAAGTGGAAACTGGAGAACTTACGAGTGCAATTGATGTTGCAATAAATTGATGTGTGGGATGGTTGACTTCTAGCCGGGGGTAGTTTTCTCTATAATTCTGTCAAACACAACCCTCTTTTGAGTTGTACTACATTATAATGTTTTACATTAATACATGTTTATTATTGACTACAAGCTTATGGCAGCACTAACCAATTATGAATGGCGTGTTTCTTATTGCGAGATTATGTGTTTTATGAATGATTGATTATCACATTTATGATATATCTTAGGTTGTTTCTACACTTCAACAAGTTTGGAAAATGTTCGTCAGTTTTGGTCGAACAAATAAAGCTACGTAGATCTATATTTCATTGAAAATGTGACATGAATGGTTTATTGATCAGTTGTGGTTCCTGCTGATTATAGCAATATTCCACTTAAGAACAAGATAATTGCATTAACACTTTTTTCAAGATATACTCCATTTAGAAAGTTTTTATTTCTAAATTAACAAATTCTCATAAATTTCAAGATTTGCACCATCTTCAATTTGATTACCAAAATTGATTTTTAACAAAAAAAAAAACTAACCATCCGAAGCCATTTATAGAATCTCTCCTGTGCATTTGGAGCTATTTGAATGAATAGTAAGTCACCCTCGACCACAACCCAATCACTAGGTAGCTATATTCCTTTAATTTGTAGATTATCTATGTTTAAGATATATAATCACCTTTTTGTAGTAGTCATTAATTCCTTATTCCTTACAGTTAGCTTATACTACATCCGTCCCTCTATCTTTGGGACAAAGAGGTGTGGTGTGATTTTTAAGAAGTTGAATTGTGTGGTTGGTATTGAATTGATAAAGTGTAAATAAAGTAAGAATGAACGATAAAGTGTGGTTGATAAAGTGTCAAATATTACCTAATATGGTATGGGACAAACTTAATGGGATGGACAAAAAAGGTAAAACGGGACAAAGTTAGGGGGACAGAGGGAGTATATCAATTTGAAAAGGTGCTCAGTGTTGTGGTGGGATTGTGGGAACCAAAGGAAACCTTTTATGTAGTAGTCGTTATATATAGCTTCTAGATTTTAGAAGGCAATGAAGCGTGCCTGATGGAAATCCCATCAGGTGCCACCTTATATGAATGGTCATAAGTATATTACACACACATATTAAACGTAATATTACAACAAACTAATTCCTTAGTATTCAATGCAATGCTTTTAGTTGATATATATATATATATATATATATATATATATATATATATATATATATATAACATCTGATGCGCTTTCTCATTGACCACCAGATACATCATAGAGGACATCAAAATTGTTCCTATGCTAGAAATGCTGAGAAAATCTGGGCGTGCTGTTTTTTTGGTGACTAACAGGTAATGTTTCCTTTCTACTAGAAAAGCTGAAAGAATCTGGACATTAAAGTTCTTTCTTGTGGTCTTGTAGAGTTCAGGCTTCTCTACACCGATGTTTAATTGAAACCTTGAACTAAATGTTTTTGAAAGTTTACATGTTTTTTTATGTTTATTCTTATTGATGTAATTAAACCTATGCAGTCTGTGGGACTATACAAATGCTGTGATGAACTTTCTCTGTGGACCCAAAGCATCGGATGCTTGTTCTGCTGAGACATCTGAATGGGTTGACCACTTTGATGTTGTCATCACTGGCAGGTCAACTTTCTTTACTTCATAATTCAATACTGTATGCTTCATTTCCAAGTGGTTGAAAGCACACTTTTTCCTAAAAAAAACATTTGCACTAATGCACTCTTGATATGCATGAACCTCATGGGGTCGGTCACAATGAAGTTACCATATTTTTTGCATCTACAGCGCGAAACCAGGTTTTTTCCATGATGAAAGACGTGCTAGCATTTATGAGGTGGAACCTAAGTCTGGGATGCTGATGAATACTGATAATGGCACACCTATGGCTCTGGTCAGTTGAATTTATTTTTCTGCATCTGGTGTCTTTTGTTAATATCAAGTTTTTACTTTGCTTTCACATTGATCAATTAGGTGAATGGGAGTCCGATAAGAGTGCCAACAAAGAGCTCCACGACAAAAAGTAAAATTTTTCAGGTAAAAGTGTTGTAGCATGACCACTCTATTACTGATTGTGGTTTTGTGCCTTCTCAAAAATTAAAAATGAGACCCTTCTACAAGTATCACCAAGTATGGTTGTTATTTTTCTATGCACTTTACAGGGAGGAAATGTTGGTCATTTGCACAAACTACTCAACGTTGAGTCTAGTTCACAGGTAAACATCTCATCGTCAACTTAATCCCATCAATTTTGCAATTAGTGGCTTGAATTACATAAAAGTAATTGAAAAGCTATATAAATAGAATAATGGCATAGATTTATACTGGGAGTTTTTCATGTCATTGTATTTTTGTGAAGGAATTGTGAGATGAAATTTCAAACAAGTTGTAGGGTCTTCCCACTTGTAAGGAAAATGGCTGCGATGATCTGTACATTTGCATGGAGATTTCTATGATGTGGATGCTAATTTACTATTTGCACATATAATTTGAACTTACATGTGATCAAGAAGTAACAATAAGGGCACATCATCCTTTATTTTTTAACTAATGGAATTCTTTGGTTGCCATTTCCATTCTCAAATTTGTTTTTTCGATTCAATTACTTGTTCTTTCAGTTATTTATTACATTGGGCTTGCTCTGTCACTATAGGTTCTTTATGTTGGGGATCACATTTATGGTGATATTTTGCGCAGTAAAAAAGTTTTAGGTATGCTTTCCATTACGATATGTTTCTCTCTCAATTAGCATCCATCAGTATATCATGGAATGGGGTCTTGAATCCAGTTTGAGATTTTTGTGTTTGATCTGGTAGGTTGGAGAACCATGCTAGTTGTTCCAGAGCTTGAAAGGGAGGTTGATCTTCTTTGGAAAAATAAGGATAGAAGGAAGGTATGTTAACAAGTTTAAGATTAAATAATTCAATAAATCTAAAACAATGGGAAATCAATCTCTGGCGACATCTATGGTTGGCTTTCATGTCCCATTTATGGATATGTATAAATTGTTTTATCTATCAATTGGGCGTCTTAAATAGGGAAATTTACCCAAACAGGAACAAATACAATGAGCAATTTCCTCTATTAAATACTAACAATGAGAACTGCCATTATTACTTTTATAGAAGCAAATATTACTGCATCTATGGAAATTGTTTTTTAAGGTCTACTAATGATCCCTATTTTACCTAATTTGTAATTCTGAATGATTACGTTGTCAATGCAGAAACTTTTGTCTCTGAGGAGCGAGCGTGATCGCATTGAAGATAAAATAGACCATCTCAAGTGGTCACTCAAGTAATTTCCATTTTATCAATAATCTATGCTTATGAAAAGTTTCTTTAATCAATTTGATGCTAAACATAATTTCTTTTATTTGTTTACTCTCATTCATATTTTTTACCTTCTATCACTTCCTTTATTTCAACCTTAGTCTCTTCTCCGACTTTTTAACTAAAATAATAAGATTTACATGTTTAGGTCTCAAGGTGTGCAGCGTACTGCTGAAGAGGCAGCTTCAGCAGCATCTGAGCTTCGTCGACTGGAGGTCAGTATATCTAAGTCTTCCTATGTACTATTTCATCTTTGATGATTCAGAAAAAATTAATGCACTTTTCACAGATGGCTAATAAGACAAAAGGTACTTGGTCAAGGACTAGTTTGAAATCTTTTTTCTTGCTAAAGATAATTGGCCTATGTACAATTCCTCAAAACTCACTTAGATTTACCTATTCAATCTACTTTGTAGTCTGAGAGAGATGAAGTTAGGCGTGATCATCAAGAGAAACAACGTGAATATCATCAGGAGGTAATCATAAGCACAATTTCTCATAAATGAATAATTCAATCAATCAACTTAGCTTAATACGTAGTAGCGTTTACATATTGTTTCAGTTCCATAATATCTGGGGACAACTAATGAAGGCTGGCTATCAGAACTCTCGCTTTGCACATCAGGTCAGAACATTCAGATGAATTGTTGTTGGTGAAAGATAGCTTTTGAATATATGGGGTTGTTCGTAAAGCACTTGTTATGTTTTGCTTTCAGGTTGAGAGGTTTGCGTGTTTGTATACCAGCCAGGTCACAAATTTGAGCCTCTATTCTCCGGATAAATACTATAGAACCAGTGAAGATTTTATGCCCCATGAGTTCGATATCCTCTCAGAGTAAATGATGCCACCTGATAGGCATTTAAAAGAGAAGCTGAATTGTAAAATTTGGATGTGGCTTCTATCCGGCTGAGGGAAGGACCTTTAGGTTTCATTGGTGAACTTGATTGACTGTTATTGGTTTCTTCTTCTTGAGACATAAGAAACTCAAATTGGCTGCATGTTTTTCTTTTTTCTTTTGTGGTTCTCAACTATTTGTGTGCATACTCCGATATAAGTGCCTGGACATCTTTCAAATAGAAAGGTGGTGTTTAGTGGAATCTTTTCCCTTTTATGAGTTTTATCTAGCAGGTTCAGTGCGTAATCTGGTATTTTCTAGCAGGTTCCGTTATACGAAGTACGCTTGGATCAGCCGGTTTTGGTAATCTTTATTTTAATCTTGCTGAAAAATTAGTAAGGAGCGGATTGCCATTCCTTACAGTACAATGTTCCGTATGAAATATTAAAAAAAAATCCACTTTCATGTTTCGTCTATAACGAAAAAAATCTTCTTATTACACTCAATAATTTTGAAAATAATACATTATTACAACTATTTTTTTGGATTTTTTCTGCATTCCATCGCGATACTCTCTTTAGAAAGAGAAAGTAGGCCTACAAGGTAGCAAACAAAAGACAGAAATAAATTTTCAAGGCCAAACTTAATTAGTCTTTTTTTTAGTAAATCAAAATTAAAAGCTAAAAACAATTAAAATAGAGGACTTCAATACACTACTCCAACTGTCCAACTGTACCAGAGCCAAGTGAGTCGCCGGCTCCTTGCAAGTGAGTGTTCCGACGCTGACTGGCCTGTTATTGACCCGGTAATCGCTCACTTCTAATCTAGGGTTTTGAGTTGATGTGAAGGTGTTTCAAATGGTGTTAGTTTTAAATGGTATTTACCATTGTTCTAAAAATCGGCCTAGGCGGACCGATTAATCGGCCTAGGCGGCCTAGGCGGCCCTAACCGTAGAGGCCGAATCGGCCTAGTCGGCCAAAAAATCGGCCTAGTCGGCCGCCTAGGCGCTAGGCGCCCCTTAACCGCCCGACTAGCGCCTAGCGAGTTTTAGAACAATGGTATTTACAACTGTGAAAAAAAAAATCAAGGTATTCTAGGCTTCTAGGTCGGCACTCGGCAGGTCCTGGGTTATTTATGTCAGATTTTGCACCTCAAACTATGTAACAAATACGGAGTAGAAACTAATGTAATATATTTTGGGGATTGAATTTCTCAAGCTAGCTTGGTCGAGAAAAAAATACCTATCTTTCAACAAGTAGTTGTCATCTTCTTGGCTATTCCTAATTCCTAAAAAAGTCATCTTTTAGAATTTAGATAGTTCACTAGTTGCTATTTTCTTGCCATATTTTCTTGCGGCATCTAAAATTTGCAACAAATAGAAACGAATGTAAAAAATTTGCAATTCATTCCCCAAAGCCATAACTGGGTTATTTATGTCAGATTTTGCACCTCATCATTGTTACATTACATAGTTGTATTTTAGTGTTTCTCACACTTTAGTGGGATACAACAATATGGAAGTAAACATGAGGTAAACTCAAATTTTTACATTTTAGATGGGAGGGCTGATTGATTTTTGTATTGCTAATTCATTTATATTTGTCAATCTTAGATTACAAATAACTTTATGTATAGTTATATTTTACATATTTAGTTTAGAGAGAATTCCCTAAATATGAGTAAAAACGTTTTGAAATTCCGAAATAGGAGTATCATGTTTTTTATTCCCTGAATAGGAGTAAATTTCTGCCAAGTTTGGCATTACAAGGTTTTAAACATGGCATTTTTTTTCAAACTTGGCAGATTACTCCTATTCAGGGAATAAAAAACATGATACTCCTATTTTGGAATTTCAAAACATTTTTACTCCTATTTAGGGCAATTTCTGTTTAGTTTAATAATGATTTTTTGTTAAACTATGATTTTAGGTTTTCCCACATTTGTAAGAATAAAAAAAATACGGAGTATGAATATCACTCCTCTTCTAAACCCCTAAACAAACAAATGGTAATTCTTTGTATATCGCCCTTTGTAGGCCATTTCTTTCGCTTTTATTTGAGTGCTTATATATGCTAAAAGGATTGATGGGGATAATCCTACACAAACTTGGATCCGAGTCTAACTTCATAAAAGGCCCCTATACGTTGTCTTTGTTTAAAATACAACATATTGGGAAATAAAAGATTAATACCACAAAAATCTTTGTTTAAAATACAACATATTAGGAAATAAAAGATTAATACCACAAAAAACTCAGTACTTAAATAATTTTTTTACATTATCCATAACGATACTAGATTTATTAAAACAACTAATTAAGTACAACTTGTTGAAAAATTTTAGTTCCAAAAGTATTAAACAATTAGCATAATATAGGTTTTTAATAAATTTCATCTCAATTGATAACATAGCTCATTCATTCAACCTTTTTTAGACATGGTTGATCGTAAAAAATTTATAAGTTTTAGTTTTGAAAAATTTCTTTCTTCACTTGATACTGTCACGGATATAGTCAACAAGATTTTATATACGATGCATGCATTATGAAAGCATCAATCCATCATTTTCAAATAATTCATCACTCTGATCGCAGATTTTATTTCCTTTGATAAAGAACACTTCAAACAATGAAGAATTTTACATTTTCTATTTTTTAATTCATCTCAGTGTTTTTTATACAATTTCCCAATTCTCAAATAGAGAAATTTCACCAAGGCACAAGCCCAACTTGACTATTTTGTAAAACAAGCAAGAATCAACTTGCTTTTTATTTTTAAATAGCATTTTTAATGTAAATACTCTATATCCCAATCAATAAGAGAAGAATTAGTCAACACTTATAGCAATTAGAAAATAGAAATAATAAGTTGGTTCATTCTGTCATTCAAAAATCAATAGTTCGTCAAATTAGCAAATCAATATAAAATCTATTTTTTTTGGAAATAACATATCAACAAATCTAGGAGTTGGGGTTGTACTTCACTGTGTAGTTGATAACTCTATTGTTCCGCCGATTTTGTTACTTTTGTAGTACATGATTTAAACCAGACGACTAACATAGTCTTTGTATTTTTATTTTGAATACACATATATAATATATACTCCCTCCGTCCCAAAATTATTGTCTCGCTTTCCTTTTCGGTCCGTCCCGAAATAATTGTCTCGTTTCTTTACCTTCTTTATTTGGTAAACAAATCTATACCAAACAGTGTCAAACAGTGCAAAACAGTGTCAAATAGTGTTGCTACAGTACCAAACAGTGTCGCTACAGTTTCATTTTCTTAATCTGTGTGAAAAACCAAACAGGACAATAATTTTGGGACGGAGGGAGTAGATTGTTAAATTTTTGGGCCCCTAATTTTTTACTTTTTTTGGGGCCCTGAGGCCCATGCCTCTCTACCCTAAAAGAAGGCACGACTCTGGATAGAGATTCCACACAGTGCAAAGGATATATTACGAAGTTGTTCTTTTCGTCTTATTCTTATTACTTATTGTTTATTCTTATTTTATTCAGATCAGATCAGATCAAATCAGAAAGATTCAGATCAGATCAGATCAGAAAGATTCAGATCAGATTAGAAACATTCAGATCAGATCAGAAAAGTTCAAACATGATTTATCACTTTTATAATAATAATAATAATAATAATGATAATAACAATAATAATATGGCCATTTGTATTACTATTATTATATTTTTATTGATAATAACAATAATAATTATAATAATAATAATAATAATAATAATAATAATAATAATAATAATAATAATAATAATAATAATAATAATAATAATAACGATAACGATAACGATAACGATAACGATAACGATAACGATAGCGATAGCGATAGCGATAGCGATAGCGATAGCGATAGCGATAGCGATAGCGATAGCGATAACGATAACGATAATGATAACGATAACGATAACGATAACAATAATAATAATCAGGAACATTCAGATCATATCAGGAACATTCAGATCAGATCAGAAAGATTCAGATCAGATCGGGTCATAACTTAAAAAATTCAGATCAGAAACATTCAGATCAGGTGAAGAGTACAACTTCTTAGTCATTGGAAAAGAAGGGAGGGGTTGAATACTCTTCTTGTTTGGGAGTATCAAGTTTGAAAAGATAAAAGTTTTTGATGAATTATAATTAATCGCTTCACATATATGAAGAATTCATCATCATCATCATCATTACCCCAGTGCCGCAAAGGCTCCCACCTACGGTGTGGTAAGGGGAGTCGAATGTACGCAGCCTTACCCTCAACTAAAGCACAGAGAGATTGTTTCCGGATGACCCATGGTGAAAATCGCGTCGAAAATTGCATTGACTGACTGTTGCTTCATAACAAAGAAACGCAGACAGTTTTGTGAGCCATTTTGCTTTATTACATCATATTCTCAAGCCAAAAAATAGTGAATCTTTGGCTCCATTGCAAATGATGGAAAATATATGAAGAGTTCAAATAATTGAATTTGTATTTATTTAAAATTGCGTTAAAGTTGTCATTTGATTAGTTATCCTTCAAAATCTCTCGATTTAGGATAACTTGAAAATTGAGCATTTGAAGGGTTTTGGATGACTGCAAGTTACAAAAACCATTTAAAATCATCCCCTCCATATTTTTTAACTTTCAACACATGAACCAGAGGGCCATAAACCCTTGTCAATCATCTTCTCCCCTCCAAAACCCAACTTTAAACATACCCTAAAGATATGTTTGGGAGTTTGGAGGGAAGGGGAGGGAAAGACTTTGGAAGTTTGTTGTTGGAGAGAAAAGAGAGGAAAAGGTGACTGGGTGAGTAAGCCCTTCTTTGTATTTGAAAGTAATAAATTTTGAACAGAGTATTTGAATGAATTATAATTAAAATTACTCTGAGATATGACGAATTCAAACAATTGAATGATATATATTTATAATTGAGCTTAAATTATCATTTCGTTAATTATCCTTCAAAATCTTCCAAATTGGGGAAACTCCAAAACCTGCCCATCCCCTTCAATTTTCTAAGCTCTCCAACATGAAAAGTAGGATCATAAATCCCCATCAACCTTCTCCTCCCCTCTAAAACCCAACTCCCAAACACACCCTTGAATTAAAAGTATAAAAGTGACCGAAGAAAAAACGTTATCCTATAATCCTCGTTTGACTATCGGCCGATCATGTGTAAAACAATACTTGTATATTTTAGTAAACAAATTTTATAGGTTTACGATGCTAACAAATTATTTGCATCAGATTTAATAAATTAACTTCCAATTAACACTTTACATATAAAAAAACTTCCAATTAACGCTAAATTTGGTTTATTGGTTTATGTTGCTAACTGGCTTAATCATAA